ACGATAATTTCTCCGCCATGCAACTTTACACCTCACTTTAAATTAATTATTAAGGATTAAAGTTATGTATAATTAAGGCGTGGGGGGGCCTGCTTTGTGACAGGTGCTTTCGTCACCGGCTGTTTTCAGTAACAGCTTTATTTGTCTCAACCTCTTTGACCAATTGGGTTGAGAATTAGTATGTACGAAGTCAGCACCGCCCTATGATTTACTGTTGTTAACGCTTTGCAGTCGGTTCTTTCCTTTCATGACCACAGATTCTTTATATTATGAACTAATGTGTAAACGCAGTTTAGTGTCAGCTGTTCAACAATTCCACAAATTGTCTTCAGAACCCTGCCTTTACATCTTGAGGTTTTGGACAGAATTGGCAATTGTAAAGGTGTAACTTTGAATCTGGGCTATTTGACAGGATTCTTGCAGAATTTAGGTAATTTAACAAAATAAAGTTTTAAACAGAACGTGTGAAATTAAAGAGTACAGTTGAGCTCTCAGAATTATTCAGAAACTCTTTCTGCTGCATTGTTTCGTATGAATTAAGCAGAAATTCAGTTAAGTTTAACATCCAGTTTTGATGTTTGGGCAGCAACAAGCATTATAAGAGGTGTCACTTTGAACTCTGGGTAATTGTGACAGGATTTTTATATTTATATTCAGCAACTTTAACAAAGCCCCAAATAGACTTAGATATCAGATCCAAGTAAATGGAAGAACTTAAAGTAATAATAATCCAACAGTAAAATCCTGCTTTTTACATGAAATGTGTCAGGATAATCTAATATAATGCTCATAGGTACAGTCCAACTTTAATACTTTATACTTAAGATATTTTTAACAGAGTATCAGTACTTTTATGCAGATCTGAATTCTGCTCCTCCTCCTCCTCTCCTCTTCTGACAGGTGACAGCAGGAAGCTCCTCCCCCTCCTGATCTCCTACTCTGAGCTTCCTAGAACCTGTTCTCATTTAAACACAGCACATCCAGAGAGAGTGGTGTGACAGCGCACACCACACACTACAGCACACACATACCCACCATACACACCACTCACAGCTCAGGTGACACCAGGAAGACATGTTGGCCCTCATGGCTGCCGCGCTCCGTCTTCTTCCCCGGACTCTTTCCTGCTGCTCAAAACCAGACCTGAGACACATGTATGGGATGAGAGCGAGGGGGAACGCCGCATCAGTAATCTAACACGGTAAACACACACACAACAACACACACACCAACAACACAAAACACACAAACACACAACTCTCACATACACACACCACACACTGACTTACATTCATCTCTTTAAGTCTTAACCTAAAAATGTAACTCGTTTTACCATGTGAGGACATCATTTGAAAAATGGCTACTTATTGATTATTATTGTAAAAGATAATTTATGGACTTTATTTGTCAAAAATAATTGATATTCGCGTGACACTAAAATGTCTATTTTTTGAATTTTTTTAATTTTAATTGTCCCGGTTGTGTCAAAATGATGCAACTATTGTCTGGGATCCGTAAAAGTACGGCTGGCATTTGTGAGAGCTCAACACAACTGCAGTCTTAATGGGGTCCACACAAAATATAATAAAAATTTTAAAATCCTACAGTATCAATAAAACAGGAAAATACAAAGCAAGCTGAAGATAAACTCTATATAAATTGATTCTAAATGTAAGGAAATATATTTTACATTACATAACAGACATCCACCGATCAGCACTGACAGTATATAGACTGATATACTTGATCAGCACTAGCATTATGGAGCACTGGACTCCTGACTGGTTCCCAGACCTACAGAACTGTGATGCACTGTTGTTCTGACATACTTTCTATCAGAAACCCCAGCATTAACATGTTTCAGCAGTTTGAAGCTACAGTAAGCTCGTCTGTTGGATTAGGACCACACGGGCCAGCTTCCCCCCCACTTCTCCCACCTGCATCAATGAGCCCGTCGCCCCATGACCCTGTCTCACGGTTCTGTTCCTTCCTTGGACCACCCTTTGATCAGGTACTGACGCACTGCAGACCGGGAACCCCCCAAAAGAGCTGCAGGTTTGGAGATGTTCTGACCCTGTCGTCCATCACAAGATGGTTCTTGTCAGAGTGGCATCATAGTGGATCAGATCCTCACGCTGCCCATTTTTCCTGCTTCTGGTCTAAGATAACGAGAACGTACAGTATGCTAACATGTTTGTTTGTATTTCTCAGACTGGTGTCGTCCGTTCAGGCAATCATGGCCTCGTCGGTCGGATGCATCATCGCCTCGTCCTGCAGGGATGTAGTAGAGGACAGGTGAGGACATCTCTCTTTTACCTTCCTTCAACTTTTATTTCAACTTGTGTGTTGAACTCATTCGTTGTCTGTTCCTCAGTTGCTTTGGTGCATCTGTCTGACGCCTTCATCCCAGTGGGGAAGTTAGGGTTAATGTGTAAACACACAGATAGTTTAACGCTAACAAAACAGAGCTGAAAATGTTAAAAATGAGGATCAATCACTAGCTGGTTAGTTGGCTAGTGAATGATGTAGATTAGCTACATACCTGCCAACATTTAGGTTTAAAATATGGGAGGTTTTGTTGGCCGGGGGCAGTTTTTCCCACAAAAACAGCCCATTGAAATCAAAGTATCATCAGCATACTATGTGAGTTTTTGGATAAAGTAATGATTTCAGTATTGACTATTACGATAAAATATCAACACTGTAAGCCCGTCAGAGCTGGAGCTGTTGTCTGTCTATATAATGACGTCATACTAATTGCTAATGGTATAAAATTCATGGGTTTTGAATTAATTTAATCGTTTTAAACAAAATTTGACAACCTTTTGGTGCATAAAACAGATAAAAAACGAAGTAAAATCTCTTTCTCTGCACAAATACCAGTGTGTACATGTCCCAGTAATAAGGAGAAAGTCAGTGTAAGTTTAAATATGTTTATGAACTAATAGTTTAATTATGCCAGACTTGCTGCAGCCCCCCTCAGCCCCCCTGCTGCCACTGAGGCTGCTCATGAATGTGTATAATCCGAACCTCTCCGTCTGTAATCTAATTAACAATCTGAGCCTAATTCCTCTCCTGAGCCGAGCAGCAGCAGCGAAGCTATTTCTGTCTCCGAGACGGTCCCAGAGATCCCTAATCCTCCACGCTGAGCATGATGGGAAATGATGATGAGGAGACAGATGACAGGGTGGGGGGTGTTGTTTCAGTAAATCCCAGGTTTCCTCTGTCGGCTCCTTCATTTCCCAGTCAAAGTGGGGGGGAAGGTTTGTCCGAGCTGCATTTGTTTATCAAATCACGCCACAGACTGACATGCAGCAAGGAACTTTGGGAGCAGCTGCTGATAATGGTGCAGCATCAAAACTCAATGTTTAAAGAGGAAATGTGAAGAAATGTTTGATTTTCTGCAACTTAAAAGAACAAAATTTAAATACTTAAAGTCTTAAACTCAGATTCTGACCCACTTTAAGTTCATTGTTTCCACTTTTACTGAATTAAAGCACCTGAACATACTTCCTCTCTCACTTCCTGTCCCCTCCTCAGACACTGGCTGACCGACGCCTACATCCTGTTCGCCACGCCTTACTTTGCCTACGACATCTACGCCATGTTCCTGTGTTACCGGCACAAGCAGCAGGTCAAAGGTCACGAGGAGGAGGAGGAGGGCGGCGCCAGGTCGATGGGAGCGGCTGTGGCGGGCTACCTGCGGCGGGAGCTGCTCATGGTGCTGCATCACGTCTTCATGGTGGCCTTCTGCTGCCCCGCCTCGCTGGTAACCACGGCAACAGTGGGATAAATCATCAGTATAATGTTTGTTACTGTCGACTCCACTGTCGCTATAAACACCGAAAGTCAACATAACTTTGTTTGATTGATAATACATGATGTCACACTACAGCAGCAGAATCTCAGACCGAAGCAATGGATGCTACAACCCACCAGACTCCATTAAGAAAACCACTAATTTTACCTTCAGATGATCGTAACTTCATTAAAGTGGACAGAAACGAGAAATCAAACTCCCATTTAAAGGCGTCTCTGTTAAGTGTTTCCAAAGCAAATCACAATCTGGTTTGGTTTGCAAATAAATCCTTATGTCCACGCGACCCGTCAGATGATAAAGCAACACCGGGCCAGTTTCAGTCCGGAAGCCAGACCCGGCTATGGAAACCCAAACGCACAGAGAGGCTGCGATACAACACAGGCAAAGGGAGGAGGAGACACCATTGTACAGAGAATAACTGTTTACTGATATATTAATGTTTATATCTGATATGTATAACCTGTAATGTGAATGTTGTTGTCTGTCTTGTACTGTTAGTGTCCACTAGAGGCCGCAGTTTACTGTTGTTGTTGTTATATACAGACAGTGGGCAGGTTGCTCAATTGTTTTTCCTCCTGTTTGTG